AATATGCAAATACTCTAGAAATTAAAATGAAATTAGCCATTGAAAGACTATTCTGCAAATATAGAATTATAAGTTTGTTAACATTTTTTCTATGAATAATTAATGTTTAGTAATTGCACATCAAGAGTATCCGTGATGTATGATTGAACACTATCAAGTAATTGATGTTTAGTAATAGTGATATCACCATTTTCATCTTAATACATAGTTTTCTAATTAACAGTTACTCTAGAATAGATTTTATGATAAAGTTATGTATGTTACATAAATATCTGATTAAAATAAGTGATAAATTATTATGACAGTTATATTTCTACAAAAGTGTAAAAAATTGCAATTAAAACTCAAATTTATTTTATCACACTCATTGCCTATAGAGTCGCATTAAATTAAATTATATCAAGTGTGTTTTCCTTAATATTTTTCATTTATTGTAGTTTTTTATAACATAAATTAAATAATTTTATAAGCTGTATAAGGAAATATGTAAAATTAATTCTTCTTCTTGACAACAGGTGGCATTTTAATCACACCTAGCTATTTGAGTTCGGCATTGACTGATAGATATCAGTTAGATAGCATTATCAGATAGATAATGCTATCTAACTGATAGCATTATCTATCAGTTAGACTAAACATTGTCGCATAGCATAATTGTTTTTATTACTATAAAATTCTTGTTAGAGAATTATTTATGCTATTGCATTCTCATTTAATACAAATTTTTAATAAAGAATATTCTAATAATTTACATTTTAAAAAAAAATCTATATGTTATAATGATTTAATTGAATGGCGATTTATTTTTCAATCCATACTTTTAATGAGAATTAGTTAAAGCTTATTCAAACAAGAGAATTTTACTTTTAAATTTTAATTAATTAATTAAAGCTTTGTCCTAATTACAGCTACCATATTTTAGTTAAATTGACTTAAAATTATTATAGTTAAAAATTAAATGTTTTCATTGATGATCATTATTGATTTGTGCAGATTTATATTTATATACACCAGTATTTTCTAACGTTTTTAATTACTGTCTCCTATTAGTGCATAAATTTCTTATATATATTAATATATATATACTTTTCTTTTTGTTTCAAAATGAATTTTTGTCATCCAATACCCCCTTTCCCCTTTGCATTCAGTGTTTCATTGAGTCTTCTAACACACACATATATATATATATTTTTTAAATATTCAAACATTTTAATCATTTATATAAAAAATAAATACATATTTTACTTCATAGTTATAGAAATAATACTTTTCATACAATGAGGATGCAACATAAAAAAATTGTATTTTAAGAACTGTAAAGTTTACACATCACTTCCATTCTAATGAAATATTAGTTTAATGATAAATGAGGTTTAAAATTAAATGTCAAAATATTGCTGTTTATTTAGTACATGCCCCCCATTGATTGTGTTGTTTGTTTGTTACATAAACAGCTTTATTCTTAAGATGGGGCATTCCCAAAAGTATTAAATATGAGTAAATAGTAGTATTGTTCACTTCTAATTTTAATCTAAGTTTGCTTAATTAATCTTAATTTAATAACAAACTTTATAACTTTCATTGAAACCTGCCACTTTCTTAATCTGTATTAATTTTCAAGTAATTCAATGATTTATTATATAATGACAAGTTATAAGCTCTTGAGATTTCGAAATAAAAACACTCACAGATTTCAATTTACATAAATTGAAATCCAATTCATAATCAAAGGAATTTACGCTTCATACGAAATAAATTTCAAAATTAGCTGTTTTTATTTTGTTTATTTGAAAATTAAATTGTAAAGAATTGTCAGAGATTAATCGCAATGCTAAATTTTCAGATTATTTTTGGATTAGATTCAGTAATTAATTAAACAATATAATTAGACCTACAGGTTGACAGTTGAGTCATTTACCTTTAACCCAAATATATTTTAAGTTTAATTAACACAAAATATATTTGATCTAAAAGTAAGCACCAGATCATTTTTGAGCTATATTTTAAGTTTAATTAACTTAAAAATATAGACTTAAAATAATTTGGCAATTTATATTTCTGATTAACTACAAAATTTGGCCTTTGCTTATATTGTTCGGGTTATTACAGGAGATGAATTTTTGAAGATCGTAATTTTCGGGCAAATCAATATTCCTTTATTAAAACAGATTTTAAAATTTAGTTAAATTTTAATATATATTTTAAAGAAATGAACATTTATCATTAAATCACAAGATAAATTACTTATGTTTTTATTTTGATTTCCTCATTAATATGAAGTGTTTAGTTAAAATTATTGTATTAAAGTAAAATTAAATAAATTAGTAATTTCTTTTTTAAATTTACTTACAACTGAAGTATTATTATAAATTCCATCTGTAACTCCAATTTTAAGGCTATATTTTGATTTTGTTTCCCAATCTAGTTTCTTTGCCAAAAGTACAGCACCAGTATTAGGTTGAATAATAAAAGTATCATTCACGTTTCCATCTGTAAAATGTAGAATGAAAGCATGACTTATAAATTTGTTAATTATTTTCAATTTAAATGCATTGATGAACAATTTAATATATTTAGTGCATAATCTATGCAAATAATATTTTAATTAATAACACATTATTAGATATTAACTTGGTAAAACAGCATTAGAGTGAGTGTAAATGTCTGAGTCTTTTAATATAATTTAAAATATAATATTGTCTAGTGCTGTTAAGAAACAGATTTTAAATTAATGTGCGCAAGTTTTATTCGTTACGCAAGGTAAAAAAGTAAAATCTAATAGTAATTTTGAAAAAGTCTTGATGGAGTAAAAGTTTATAAGCTTCTACAAGCTGGCTATCGTCTCATATTTCAAATACATTAGAATAATGTATTTGAAATTAAAGTTTGAGAAAATTATATATATATATAT